TGTGTGGTTCTTGGCTATCAGATGGAAAACTTTTTGTGTATGTATATTTGTTTGTGTAGATGTTACTTGCGTCATTGTCAGCTTACGGACTGTCCCTACTACGAGGAAAGGACTTGTGAAATTGTAATGTACATCTTCATAACATCATAAAATGACGCCTTTTATCCCCGAAGGGGTAGGCAGAGGTGTACATTATGCCACTATACAATGTAACACCCACTATTCACTATTTATGTTATGAGTCCCATGTAATAGGGGGTGAGCCTATTGCTATATACCGGGCACAATTTCAGACTCCGTGCTACTACTAAGAATTTATCAAAACCCAGTAATACTTTGCCCGATCCGGGAATCGAACCCGAGACCCCTTGCCCAGCATTCGCACTTGTGACCACTCGGCCAACGAGGTAGTAATCTACATCTATTATAATGTATTATTCTGATTGATGATAATTGCCGATGATCATAATCAAACAATGTTGATATTGTGTAGACTGACCTACATTTTTTTTTGGCTCAGTCAGTGCAGGTTACATGTTGGTAAATAATTATAAACGCAGTGAGTCGATTGGAAAATGATATAAAACTTTTAAATTTCGAAATGTTTCATGAGGAGAAACATTCCCACATACTTAAAATTACTGTAATGTTACGAAAGTTATCGAGTGCATGAAATTCCTGAATAAAATAAAAAGCAAAAATACAAACATACATACAACAAAAAATACGCCATTCATAAACACATTTCTGTCTACGAACAGACAAGCTGTCTACATCACAATTAACCTCAATATAATCAATATAAAACGATACTTCTTCAAATCACTAATAACACACAATAATACTAATATTCTTAGTCGGTTCTAGGAAGGTAAACTTGAAGTTACTGGTCTATTGAGAAATACATGGCAAGCACCTTGTGACCGTGTCTATATATGCGGCACACGATCCAGGCGACGGCATTTTGGTATTAGGTACTCCTTATTCTGTAATTTTTAAACAGAACAAAGGTACTAAAGAGATAACAAAGGAGTACATTGTTGATATTTCAAAAAGTATCGAATCATTGGCCTGCCTCGTTGGCCAAGTGCCTCGTTGGGTCGGGAAAAGTATTACTGAGTTTTATAAAATCTCAGTAGTAGCACGAAGTCTGGAAATGTGCCCCGTATATGGCAATAGCCTCACCCCCTATTACATGGGACTCATAACATAAATAGTGAAAAGTGGGTGTTACCTCTACATTGTAACTCGACCAACGAGGCAGTCTCAGTATAAGATCCACATAATATGGCTAAAACAATCCGTATACGCTAGCAAAAATAAAAATACACAGATCATAAATAAACTAGCATAGCATAGACCTACATCTACAAAAAGTCAATAATAAAGGGTTCCTCTAAACGCGGGCCTGACAACATGGTGTCGCTGCGACCGGTTCTAAGAATTATATATTTATATCAAATGGCGAATTGAGATAACATTTGTGTAAGTAAGTAAGAAGTAAATGTAGTGGATATATTATGCCATGCTAAGTGAGCATGTTTCATGCTCTAAGATAAAGAGTATGTCTGCTCTAAGATATCCTTGTAATTAAGATTTTTATAAGTTGTATATGAGCAATTCACTGATAGAAGTGAAAACTATCGTTTTTCTCTTCTCATAACCTCAACTTCACCGGTTTATTTCGTTGTAGGGACCAAGATAACTATTCATGTCCCTAGGACGCGTCGGACTTCAGAGTTCGGGTGTTTTCATGGTTGTATCTACTGTAGGTCCTGGCTTACAGGAGTTGCAGCGATTTTGGGAGGATGTCGCAGGCTTGTCCAGTTAAAAAAAAGTTGTAGATGGTCTTTGTCAATGACACACAAGTATGTGTTTTATTCCATGTAGAAGTAGAGGTGCTCATAAGTAAGAACCTGATTCTTGCGTGAGTTTATAGACATTTTATACCAGACAGAATGCTAAATTAGACAGAATGGCGAAAACGACAACTGTTTAAATCTGTGCCAACCCGGGAATTGAACCAAAAAACTCTGTTAGCCTAGTGACCAACAAGGGCGGTCAAATCAAAATAAAGGATAAGACGTAAGTGTTAAAATTACAACAAATATGCAGTTAAAAATAAACACCAAGCTACCAATACTAGAAACAACATATAGACTGAATATTCTCTACGAATACGTTTCAGCGAACCAACAATATCAGATATCACACGAAAGGTATTGGGTTCATGTATAACAAAGTCTCATCTCGTCTCATTGTGACGCCAGCTCGCGGCGGCGTCCGGCAAATTATGCATGTGCCCGGTTACCTGACCGACTCAATTGAATCATAATTGGACTACATAATAGCACCCTGTTTCTAATTCAGTGTGTTGTGTTGTGATCTGCATTATAGCCATTTTGTGGTTACCTTTGTATGGTGGGGAGATTATTGTTATGTATGGTTTGATGGTCATTTAAAGGAAAATGATAACCTCATTGCTCAAGGTCAAACAAGGAGTACCCGGGGTGATTTCTGATTTGAGTAAAATGTTGTAGAAGTTTTCCAAGATTTCCGATCATTTAAAATAGCATGGAATATAGAATTGTGCCCAGAAATATATATATTGAAAGACTTCTTTTATTACACGGGCTTGTAAATGACTGCTGAAATGTTGAAATATTGTATCATATGTGCCTACCCCAATCTTGGATGGTGTATCATTATAATCATCTACCAACCCCTGATAAAATTACGTACGTAATGCTTCATACGTACGCATCATAAAAGCTCGCGAGCACAGAGCAATTTATTGATGCAAATCAATCCGTCCTACCCCTATTGTGTAAAAAAAGTAAAATAAATTCTCGTAGTACTGTATAGAGGCTGTATACACCGGACAGCACCGAGGGCCCCCGGTGCACCATGATCGTCCATCTCCCTCTAATTCTGTCTCTTTCCAACTTGTTCCTAACGCGCAAATAAATACAGTATAGATAGATAGCAACCTTTTTTATTTTTATCTAATTTATGCGTGACCATGTTTCAAAATAAACTGGCCTTGCTTGTTGCATTGGAAAAGGGTCGATTTGTGAATGTGTACAGTGATTTGAACTTTTTTTGACCCTACATAAGGTGGAAAATTATCGTAAATGTCTCTTCTCCTGAAGGACTATCCAAAATCTTATTTATTTTTATTTATTTATTTTTTTTTAATAAATAATAAATCTGTAAATAAGGACTGATTTTGACAGAAACTCTGTACGACTAATATCACTGTTATTATTTTTGCTAAAAGCTGATTATACCTCTAGAGGTATTTTAGATTGTAAGGTATAACATGTACCTTTTAAGCTTTTATTAAATTAATAAATAATGCATGTAAATGACTTAAAGAATTGCCTAAGCGAGAAACAATATTATATAAAATAGTTTACGTTTACAAGATTATAGAAATCTACTGTTTTCTAACAATGTTATTCGATATAGTTGAGCTGAACAAGACGTTGATATTCCTGAATAGTTGTTGGGTGGTTTATAATGTCACTTTCAGTATTTTGTATCCAATTAGTGGGACCGGTGCTTTTGGTTTTATATGACGTCTAGTGAATTAAAAAACTAAAAAACCTTATAGCCTTAATGTGTTTTCTAAGTTTAAAGAACATAACATAACATAACCTAACATCACGCCTTTTATCCCCGAAGGGGTAGGCAGAGGTGCACATTATACCACTGTACAATGTAACACCCACTTTCCACTATTTATGTTATGAGTCCCATGTAATAGGGGGTGAGCCCATTGCCATATACCGGGCACGTTTCCAGACTCCGTGCTATTACTGAGCTTTTTTTTAAAAACCCAGTAATACTTTGCCCGACCCGGGAATCGAACCCGAGACCCCTTGCCCGGCAGTCGCAGTTACGACCACTCGGCCGACGAGGCAGTCAGGCTAGTTTAAAGAATGCCCTTAAAAATCTGCCCGATACCTAAATTTCTAGTGTCCATGGGCGGCCGATTCTTACTATCAGGTGAACAATTTGTTCGTTTGTCACTCTATGAAATAAAAAATCAATATCAATTCCAATCATTGACAACATCAGTTAAAAATTTGAACTCACATTTTTCCCTTTCAAAAATAATACAATTACATCTTGATCAAGTGACAAGAAATTCTTGAGTTACAAAGTACTATGGGCTATGGTAAAGTTACTCTGGGCTCACTAATACGGTGACCTTCACCAATGTCTGGGAAATCCTACTGGAAAATTTACTCAGAAGATCAGTAAGCATGTTGTTGAAATGAATTAGACATTTAACACTTCTATCTGAGATACAAATGACAAGTTTCACAAGAGGTGTTCGCTTTACCCTCTTACCGCTGCAAAAGCTAACATTTCCCGGCGATATTAATGTTTCATTCGCTCTCGCTTATAGTAGTGTACCGACATTACCGAACACAAATGCGTATCTGTATACTGAGACACACCCTCTTTGTACACACCTACCTACATATAACACGTAGTTTGCACTATCATGCATTTTAATTGATTGCCAATACAGTATGTACATCGGTCTCGGTACCAACTGACCATTCGACCGAATCTACTCCCAATATCACCCACCTAAGCCCCAATATCGTACTTGTACCTATCATTGTCCCCGATCTGTGCAATCATGGAACTTAAATCCAAAATCTATAACGCTAGACTTACTATCTGGGCGGAAAATTTATTTGATAACCATTATGCTTTGCTTTGATGACTTCGCTTAGTTACGTATAACGCATACATTGCTCGTTTGTCACGGTACGGTTAGAGTACATTGTTCGAAGAGCGCGCAATAGAGAGGTGACTAGGAGAGGATCTCGCGAGAGCTTTGCATGTGTGTGTGGAGCAGGCTAGGCCCACAGATCGGGCCCACAATGCACGTTGTTTATCCGCTAGGGCGCGGGGGTGCGGCGCGGGGCGCGGGCGGCGGGGCTCCTGGCCGGGCCCAGTCAGTGAGTTGCCAGCGCTCGCAGCAGCCGCACGCGACCGCGAGTGCATCAGTGCCCGTACACTACAAACACTGACACTCCGACCTTCAATCCGTGGGAACGAGACATCTATATCAGGTAAGGTTCTTTTTTGAAAAAGGATCGGTTCCGCATGTATTCCGGTTTTTTTCAGGACCTTCAGGACTGAGATCAAGATGAAAGTTATATAATATTAACTAATTAACGACGAGATCGTATCGACACCCCATCCGAGCAGATCCGCGGTAACTGACGAAAAATTGTAATTAGTCGCTACGCGGCTACACGTTCCCGTAGCGGCGTAGCACTGGCGTAGAAAACAATGCGTTTGGGATCCTACGAATTTCGCCACGGAGTTTAATTTCGCGGAAGTGGTATTGTTACGAGAGAGTAGGGAGTTCTTACTTCGTACGTAGTTGGGTATTTTTTCACGGTCAAGCCAAGGACTTTGTTGGGGGTGGTTGATGTTGGAGGCTGAAATGGGTGTCACAATACGCTGTTATCCCACGGCCCAAGCGTTCGTACGAGCGCTGTCATTTTGTCATAATTGTCCTGAAAGCCTCGACCTTGTTCTGTAAGCGCACCATGAGTTCTTTGTTTCCGCGGACTGTTTTTATGGTCGCAGAATGTTTTATTATGCATTTGTTAGAGGTCACATCCAGTAATCTTTATCAGTGATGTATATGTTATAAGCGGCAGGTTTTAATATAAGTTGGGAGTCATTTATAACATTGATATTAGCTGAGCGTTATTATTGATAACTATAATGTTATAATTACAACACAATTACTACTAAAATGTACTATTGTAGTATAGAATTCGATACGATCTTATCCCTGAATACATAATACTATTAAAATAACTTGTCTAGTCTTACCTTGTAACTGAAAAACAAAACGTCAAATAGGAGTATCCAGAAGGACCTTTACCTACCTCTCGTATATAAATAATTGCATCACGTGATTATCAAATTATTAGGACTTGAAATAACACACTACATCAGTTAGTCCAATCGTCACAGTCGCAACAATCCGAAGGGGAAGAGTACCGGCTGTAGTAGTTAGCATTTGACAAACGACTAGCACGAACATATTTTAGCCAATCGTCGCTCTGGTACACTTTGGGGATATGATTGTATCACCACATTCATAATGTGCGGTTATTTAGTGCATAGGCAATATTAATCACGATCATTTTACGGTAGAGTAATTTCTACGTACCTTTAAGATGTATCGGCGAAAGATTTTTATGAAAATATGACAACCGTAGAAACTGAACTGAAAAGAAAATTACACGTTTTTCAGCTAAAATTATTTTCCTGAAAAACGTGTTATATATTGACGTATAAAGGTTTTAGTTAGTTAGTGCAGTTTAGCGTAGTACCATACATTGGGCTCGGTATTAACAGTGTTACTAAGAGAGTGAATATTGTAAGTACAGTTTAGATTTTGTATAGAGAATCAGAACTTCTTAGCGCTCCAATTTAAACACGGATAGTTATCATCATTTCAGCTATAAGACGCGCATTACTGAAAGTAGACCTTTCCTTATGACTTCCATATCTGCTGGTTGGCTGGCTGCTACTAATAAAAAATAATCGAAAATGGAACCTGGTCGTTACTGTTTAGGCAATCAGTTTTATTCTGAAGAGTTGCCGGAATATGACAAAATACTTATTTAAGTGGACGGCTATATCTATGTATATTTTCTGTGTGCATAAAAAAAATAAAAATATGGCTGATGGTCGAATATGGCTACCACAAGGTTTCAGCTTTAACTCGTCGAGAACCGTCCTTATAGACACAATTATAGAACAATAGGTTGCGGTTACCGGTGACCGCTTGGTGTTTGACAGTTTAATATTCATTTCAGAAAATTATTGTTGAGTTATTGAGTTAACGGAATTATCTTCAACAACAAGAAGCCTCATTTTGATTAATCATTTTGACGAGTCTAGGAACCGGAGAGGTCATCAGCGAAAAAAATAAACTTGGATACTAAAAGATTAATTTGTTAACTAAACCTACTAAACTTCACATTAATTTGATCCTTCGAGATTCAACCACGCAGATGAAACCACAGCCATGTAACTAGTACACATACATACACATCTACGGGCCCCTAATCCGAATATGAGTCGAGTTACCGGCGCCTTTCCATCACTCATCGTGCTGTCAGCGGTCAGATTATTGAAATATCGGCTTCGAGGGATATGTGACCTTGAGTCGTGCAAACACTGAAATATTATAACCAAGTATACCTTCGCTTTAGGCCCCAATAGCTATTAGAAATGCTTCTACCATTATTGGGTTTTTCGACTTGAGATAATAGAGTTGGGAATTGTACTTTGTGCGTAATAGACTTAAGTTCTATTCATGTTTTGTGGTGTTTTAGAAACTTAAAAATAAAACCCTTTTTGGCAGTCAAGTGCAATCTCGCTATATAAAGGTAATGTTATCAATATATGCTAAATATTATGTACAGTATTTCATATTTGATTTATTTAATAAACAATCTTATTCATTGTCTATATATCGTATGTTTATTTAGTTTTTTTCTCCGATCAATAAGAAACTAATATCATGACATCCTGAAGCATCCATGTCTGATAGTCATCTAGGGAATTCAACATTCTTGGGGTGCTTTGAATTTACTCCCATGCTACAATAGATACTTTTTAGTAAGCAATATTTGTGACACAAGAAAAAATTCGTTTTAACTCGTCGAGTACCGGTTTTGTAGACACAATTATAGAACAATAGGTTGCGGTCACCGGTGACCGCTTGGTGTCTGACAGTTCAAAATAGTAACTACCTAGATCCATCTCTGATATTCCGCAGAGAAACATAGTCAACATATTTCTGTTATTTTCCGGTAGATTTTTCCCGAAATTCGGTTTGCATTAAAAGGCTCAGCGTACTAAGACTCAGTTCGCGGGTTGCTTGCCCGATACGTGACCAAAATACTGCCGGGAACTTGAAATGAGGGCACGGAATACTTGTTTAGGATTTTCCGGAATCTTAACTTAATGTAGTGTTTATTGTATTGGTTGGAGGCAGATGTATGTTAGCTCTTACGCAGTTACTACGGACCAATTTTTCTTCAGACCTGGCCTGATTGGTCCACATAGGTTGGGCTCGGTCTACCAACGCGATTTGGCTCGTTCATATGTTTTTTGGTCTGATGTCATACCACATTAGTTAGATATTTTTAAGCTTAAGGTCAGTCGAAATGAGTAAAGTAGATGTTCAGGAATGTGACTGATGTCTTAACTGTGTAAAATTGCGACCAGACACAGTTGTGAGGTTAATTTTTTTAGAAATGGGAGTAATAAAATAAATCACAAAGACAAAGAGTAAGAGTAAGAGAAACATACTAGGTGTCTAACTATGCTTTAAACTTATTGAACTCCCCTTATGAAAATTAAAAGTATGTGATGAGTCACAAGTTTAACTCGTCGAGTACCGGTTTTGTAGACACAATTATAGAACAATAGGTTGCGGTCACCGGTGACCGCTTGGTGTTTGACAGTTTAAATCTTTTTTGAAATATATATTTTTTAACTAAGAACACATTTTTTTATATAACTTTAGTGAGAACTTGTTGTGAAGAACTTTACTAAATACACGTAGCAGCGCAACTGACCCCGCGTCGCGGGTCGCGGAATGCTGCTCATGAATATGAGCCTCTATAATGGCGTGAAACTAGTCGAGTTCCTCGTCAAATAATTACATACGTGAGTAAGACGAAAAACATACTAAGAACACATGAAGTGTTCAATCAATCAAATCAATAGCAAGTTTTGTTAGAGTACACAGCTGGCCTATGCCTAGGCCTAGCTATAACTGGTAGAAAAGGTTCAGGTACATCAGAGAATTCTACAAAACGGTCATCTACACTACTACTTTGTATACAATAAGCCGGGCAGACGGATCACGTGATGGTAAGCAATCGGCGCCGCCCATGGATTAGAAATTTGAGGATTGTTGGGTATTCGGGGATTGAAGAGATTGGGGAAGGGGTATTTGGGCCTCCGGTAACCGCACTCACACGACGAAACGCAAGTGTTGTTGGACGTCGTGGCGTTTTATGCTCTTTATGGCGTGGTATGCCGTGGTATCGCTCCGGTTGAGCCGGCCCATTCGTACCGAAGCATGGCTCTCCCACATCTTGACAATCCTACAGGTCCTCAATTCCCATGGGTGAATAGAGGTGATGACAAAGGTATTAAACTATACCTGCCCCAGTCGAAGTATCACAGACCATAATAATTATTTTTTTTTCTTTAAAAAACGTGTCCCACTCTAGTATTTACTGCTGCATCATGGTTACGTTTACAAACATACAATTTCACATACACAAAACACCCAGACTAGGAATAATAATCTGTGGATCACATAAAGAGTTGTTCCGTCTGGGAATCGAACATGCACGGCAGCCAGTTGCCCATCCACCGCGCCAACCATGCAGTCAAATTACGCAAGTCAAGGCTTAATGCTTTACTCATTTATATTTTGAAGGGCCGCTGATGACCCAAATTCCCTTTCACGAGTTCGAGTTGACTCGTTGGTCCATAGTCTATTTACCATTAAGATATTATAAATTTCCGCCTTCTATCAATGCACTTGAGTCTGTCTGGTTGTCTGTCTGTCTGGCGCACTTCCCGTCTCACGATCCCTACTTAATTTGTCTTCATCGACAGTCTGTTGTTGTTTAGCTAGATATATTAAAGCGCCTGCAAATGATTTAATGAAGGTCAAAATGGGTTCTTGGTCGAATTAGTAGAGATGTAAATGCAATTATATTGTTTTGTTTTGTTTTTTTTTAAACGTTGCCCCACTCTAGGATTTTCTCCTGTGTCGTGGGTGCGTTTACAAATATACAATACCACATACACATGACACCCAGACCCGGAACAACAATCTGTAGATCACACAAAGAGTTGTTCTGTGCGGGAATCGAACCCACGACACGTTGCGCGGCAGCCAGTTGCCCAGCCACCGCGCCAACCGTACAGCATTGTTACTTGATACAATGTCTTGAAACAGAAAAACTCTGCTATACTACTAATTACTACTGTGTGTTTTCTAATGAGCTTG